CCCCCTCCCGGCCCCCTGCCCGCAGGAGAAGATCGGGCTCAGCTCAGCTTCTTTTTTTTTGACGATTGATGATTGATGATATTTAAAAAAAAAAAAAAAATTCTTCATTCGTCCACAGGAGAGGCGCGGTGACGAGTTGCGCGGGCTCAGCGCGCAGCTCGAAAAAATCCGGCGCGAGCACACTGACTTCAGCCGGACGCATGCTGCCAAGCTCGGGCAGGCAGAGGAGGCAGCTGCGGTATGTCGTGTATTTGTTGTGTAAATATCTAGAAATACGTCCGTCCCCTGATAGGTCTCCACCAGACCCAAACGTTGAGAAAACACTTGGATCAAGGGACATTTGCAATGCACACGGATACCGTTGTGTATATTTCATATATGATTTATTCCGCTCGAGACCCCTTATCGTCGTCCGCTCGTAACGACTTCACTCCGAGGAGTGAGCAATTAATGTAGGGGGGTTCTGGCTGGCGGTGTGTGTGACAAATCAAGCTGAATTTAGCGCTCCGACGCTCTAGTACTGATATGCATCCATATACTGGCGTCTATATATACATAAAAAAATTGTTTCTTATTTTTAATGTTATTGATCGTGATATTTGACTCGCGTCTTCAGTCGAGACCGTGAAGCAGAGATGGCAGAGGCGGCTACGGTGCAACCCCCCCCCTCACCCACCCACACACACACATCGACACACACACACACACACACACCTGCTAACTGAATGCAAGCCTGTATAGTTGGAGCACACCCCCCCCCCCTGACGCCAAGCTCCGGCAAGTAAAGTAGGCGACCGCGAACGCTAATTATAGTTTTTTAACGCCTTCCCACTTGCAGCCCCTGGTCTGGGAGTAGGGGCATGGCGCGGTATGTTATAATACTCATTTTACAGTCGACTGTGTAGTCGGTTCACCCTACCCCCCCCTTGCCCCCTCCCCTTGCTCCCTCCCCTTGCTCCCTCGCTCTTAGCCCCTACTACTAGCCCCTACTCCGGACAATGAGCCTTAACTCCAAGCCCTGGCACTGACCGGCCTCCTCCTAACCCCCCCCCCCTGCAGGCGCACGCGCGCAGCTCTACGGATCTTGCGCAGGCGCAGGGGCAGGCGCTGGAGTACCGCGAGCGCGCCGAGCGCAGCGCGGACGAGGCGGCGGAGGCGAGGCGCAAGCTCCAACGGGTGCGCGCGCTGAAGCTGTTCTTCTTCTTTTTAATAATAGTTCTTTCAACGCTCCCCGACTTGCGCAAGCTCCAACGGGTGCGCGTAAATATCTATAAACATGTTCGGCCCCGTAAACGGTCTCCCAGTCTCCCAGTGGTGCAGCAACAACACACTGTTAGCCTAGGACAATTCCCGCCGCGCGATAAAGCTGTTCTTCTGCGATCGGTATTAGTTATGATTGGAAAAGTACTCGTATTGGTCTTGGATATCACGCGTTTTAGCGATGGATCCGCCGCTGAAATTTTTAGAAAATGCGCATTCTTTCTGAGTGGCAGAGGCGAGGCGCAAGCTGCGGCGTTTTTTTTTTTTTTTTTTTGCGAGGGAGTGAGTGTAATTTGCCCGTACACCTTCGGACTGAAAGTCGGGGGACGTTATAAGAATTATTATTCAAAAATCTCTTAAACATCACCCGGGTTGCGGCCCGAAGGCGTACGGTACGGACAGAGAGGGTCGTCTCATGCGCTCCTAATAATATTCTAAATACTATTTTTAATTACAATTATAAATTATCATCCTCATCCTCCTCGTCATTATTATAATGCTATGCAGCTGCAAGAGAAGCTGGCGAATAATAATATTCTAAACACTGTTATTAATCACAATAATAAATCCTTCTCCTCATCTTCATCATTATAATATATATAATTTATTCCACTCCACTGTGTATGCAATAATAACATTCTAAACACTGTTATTAATCACAATAATAAATCCTCCTCCTCATCTTCATTATCATAATATATATAATTTATTCCACTCCACTGTGTGTGCAGCTGCAAGAAAAGCTGACGAATAATAATCATCAGTATGTATAATATTATAATCATCATCCTCATCCTCATCGCACGGCGGGTTCACTCTCCGGAGTGACGTCGTTATGAACCGACGACAATGCGGGGTCTCGAACGGAATAAATTATATATATTATAATGATAATGTACATGTAGCTGCAAGAGAAGTTGGTGGGCGGCGGCACGACCGACAGCATGCTACACGAGGAGATCAGCCTGATGCGCTCCAAGCTCAAATGCCCGCTGTGCGCGCGCCACGACAAGGAGGTGTGCGTCACGAGCTGCGGCCACACCTTCTGCCGAGAGTGCATCGACAAGAGACTCAACTTGCGCGACCGCAAGTGCCCGACGTGCATGCGCCCCTTCTCGGCCGACAAGGTGATTCAGATCTACCTCACCTCGGCCGCAGCCTCCTAGTATCGGCTCGGGCGCTGGGGTGGGGGTGCGCACCAAGCCGCACCTTGTTCAGCTGCTTTTCACGTATGAGATGACTTCGCCCAGGCGAGGCCTTTTTTTATTATAAATATAGAACAAGACTTAAGTTAATTAGTTTTACATTACTTAGTTTCATTTATCATAAGGATATATAGCCACACTAGGCACTTAAGCGAAATTCAAATTGCTAATAGTCCTGATTGGTTCAAATCCGAATAGCGTATATTTCTGACGCGCTGGCCCTGATCGCTGCCCAGCGTGGGAACACGACAAACAACAACCAGCAGATCATCTCCCTAACCGCCCTTGCCCGGGCACACTACCGGAGATCCATCGGCACGCGCGGTGGCGCTCAAGTCAGCGCAGCCGACTAAGGCACGCAGCAGGCAATGTCTGAATGTTGTGCTGGTCTGAGCGCTGCGTCTATATGTAACTATGGGGACTCCCCCTCAAATAATTTCTATCACCCCGTCGACGCGGTGGCCACGCCTTTCCGGTCTCCACTCCGCGATGATGATTAAATCGCGGTAACTACGGTATAATTTGTTAGTCTGGCTGGTGTTCCAGTTTGCTCGCACCGCCACGCGCTCGGCCAACTCGACGACCCCCGCGGTCACCGTTCAGTGAGGTAGACGCGCCTCGCTCGTACCCTCTCGTGGTCTGGCCCTCTCTTTGGACTTCCTTGCTTCGATTTGGCGTGGTAACTACGTCATTTTTGTACATAAAGCTCGACAGCTTTATGTACATAAATGTCGATGGATGAGGTAGTAGATGAAGCGTCCGTGATGGAGGTGGCCGTTAGCAGTGCGTACAACAGCTTTGCGAGGCAGCCCATCGGGCTGCCTCGCGAGCGGGCAGCGCGATCCGGCCGTTTCAGGATGGCGAACAAATTTACTTATATATTTACTGATATGGGCGAGCAATGGGCGACGCAGCGCTCAGACCGGCACAACATTCAGAACAGTCAGACGCCAGCTTGAATCCCTATCATAAATATATTAGCGGCTCAGCATTGTTCAACAGGTGTTGTTCAGTCATTGGCTTGGTCGACGGCAGGCTGAGGTCGAGCGATCGACCCAAATCCTCATGCACCAGCACTCACACCAAGGGTGTGAGTGTGTGCGCCCCGGCCCCCACGCCCCGCCTCGGCCGCGCCTCGGCCGCCGCAGCCCTGCCGTGGCGGCCGCAGGGAGCAGCATCGTCTTCGTAGCCTTGGTAGCCTTGAGCGGCGTCTCCGTGTGCGGCCCGCCGCCGCGCGCAGCAGCGCCCTCCGCAAGCGCGCGACGCACATCCACTTGAGGACCCGAGCGAGACGGGTGGTCGAGAGGTGCCAGCGAGGTATGTATTGCGACACCGGCATTGGATCCTGATCCCGAACTGCCGAACCCAATGGCCTCTTCCCTCCTGTCAGCCCTGCTGTCAGAGCATTTTGTGAAATATTTGTGGCATCGCAAAAGAGTTATGGTTGACATAATATGTATGAATGTTTTCCATTAATGTCAGACACTCTACCGACTGATCTTAACCCGGGAGGTTTACATGCCCGCACGGGATCGGGAAAGGCCCCATCCCCTCAAGGCACGAGCATGCAAAACGGGTGAAGGTAACCAGAAGCCATTAAAAGGTGGTTCCCAATGAGGGGCTCGAACCCTCGACCGTGCGATTAAGAGTCGCACGCTCTACCGACTGAGCTAACCGGGATATGTTGATGATTGTCGTAAGAGCAAAATTAGATTTGATCGCATTAATTATGTGAAGCTGGGCTCTAGGTAGTGCCGTGCGCGACACCTCGCCGATCTGGGCAGCTCAAGCGCGGCCAGACAGACCTCAAGTAAGGCTTTTGCATCCCACGCGAGTATGACATGAGGTAAGTGACTCTGCTTCAGGTATAACTATAGAAAGTCCGACGTGCGACGTTGTCGTTGGCTTCCGCTTGGGCTTGGTTACAAGCTTCTGCCGCTGCGTGTCACTAGTGTTCACAGCGTTGAAGTCACTAAAGCGTACGGTCTGGCCCTTCACGAGCCCGCGTTCGGCCCGTTCGCTCCGTTGAGGCATCCGTGCACCACCTCGAGCAGCTTTGCGTTCTCCAGCGCGGCGGCCACCCGCTCTTTGTCGTTCAGCTGCTTGTTGACCGCGTGCTCGGAGGCGTGGGAGCCGGGCGCGACAAATATGTCAACCTTGAGCTTGTCCGGCAGCGCGCGCAACAGCTTGACGCGGATACTCAGCCCGATGAGAGTCGCCATGCTGCAGTGCGGGACAGTGGGCGTGAAGTGGATGGTCACGGTGTCGTCCGCGCCGACGGCGATGTCCTCGAGCCTGGCCACCTTGAGCTGCTCGAGCGTGTTGGGGTGCTCCGGGTCGTTGATGTGCCGGATGTGCTCGAAGATCTCGAGCGCGTCGATCTCGTCGTCCTGGCTCTCGTCCGCCTCGCGCAGCATTTCCTCGCGCGGCCGCTGCACGAGCGCAGCAGCGTGGATCGTCGGGCTGGCGTTGTCGGGCACGCCACCCATCATCTTGCGCGTGCGCCTCGGGGCTGCGAGCTGCCCGGCTCTCGAGTGTGCGGTCACTGACGGCTCCCAGCGTCCAAGAGAAGTGTCGCCGGCTCTGCAAAAAAATAGCGCCAACGCAAAGTTTGACCAACGGGTTCTGAGGCAGGAGTGGGGGGGCGCCAGAGAGTGGGCCTGCGCGCGGACGCGGGGAGTTGAGAGTGGTGCGCGGCGAGCAGCACGAGAGTGGCCGGCTGCGCGTGGCCACGGGGGGTTGGTTGAAGCTGGCGGCGGGAGCGCGGCGGGGCAGCACGAGAGGGGGGCGGGGCAGCAGGGATGGTGTCGGCCGCGCAGCTCTCGACGCTGATTCGCGAGTCGCTCGAGCGCAAGACCCCTTCGTCTGGTCACACGTGGCGCACGTTCACCAGCGCCGCGCGTGGCGTGACGGGTGTGAGCGACGGCGAGGCGTCCGAGCGGCAGTTCCGCATGCTGGTCGAGAAGCTGGTGAGCGGCGCAGACGACGCAGCGGTGGGGGCGCTCTTTCGCACGCACGCCGGCGCCAGCGGGCGCGTCAAGCTATCGGCCTTCGGGCGTGCGGTTTTTGGCGTGGGTGAGACGCAGGAGCACTCCTTCCTCGAAAAGCGCGAGGAGCTGCTGCACCAGGCGGCGGAGGCGCAGCGGTGGACCGCGAACAGTCCGTACGACCCGCGCTTCTCGCACCCGTGGGACCCCAGCGCGAACCAGGCGGCGGCCAGGATAGCGGCGCAGCAGCGGGTGCAGCAGCAAGTGCAGCAGGCGCAGCAGGCGCAGCAGGCGCAGCAGGCGCAGCAGGCGCAGCAGGCGCAGCAGGCGCAGCAGGCGCAGCAGGCGCAGCAGGCGCAGCAACAGAAAGTGCAGATGGTGGGTGCCCGCCCGGGCTCACCGCGCACCCAGCCCTTTGGCGCCCACAACCAGCCTCCCTCCGCCGAGGCGGCTCAGTTCCCCGCGCGTGGTTTCGACCACCTCGCCTCATTAGCCGAGATGGTCGTCAGCGCGACGGGCACGTTACGCGCGCACCTCGCCGAGCTGGCTGACGCGCAGGTGCGAGGTGGCGCTGACCCGCTCGACGTGGTAGATCGGCACTCCCTGCATCGAGGACAGCGTGACGCCGCGCGGCAGCAGCTGCTGCTCGTACGCGCGCTTGAGCACGCGACCTTGGAGGCGGCGCGCGCGCGCGGCGCGCTGCGCCGGGCCTGGGAGGCGGGCAGCGAGGCCCCAACGCCGTCGCTGCTCGAGCCGCACGCGCTGCGCTCAGCACTGCGCTCCATCGCCGACGCGTGCGGCGTGGCGCACAGCGGCGCAGAAGCGTCTTACTGCCACCCTTTGGTACTTCGTGAGCTTTGGGGCGTATGCGCCGAGCGCGCGCTCGCCTCGCAGCCACTGCCGGGCGCCGACGCGCGCATGCTCAGCCTGGTCGCGTTCATCTACCCGCCTCTTGCCGTCGAGCCACCCGACGTCGCCGACGCAGGTGAACCTTTTTTTTATAGCTGGTGGCAAGCCCTCCCAGGCATACCCACGTCACCCCGTGCGCGGCTGAACCCGCCCTGCGCGTCCCCTCCCCCGCTGAACCCGGCTGGGCGCGTCCCCTCGCAGCCGACCTCTTCGCCGCGTCTGCCGCGCTCCACCGCCGCCCGCCCGCCGACCCGAACGCGCGGCTGCCCTTTGGCGGTGGTCGGATGGGCAATGGACCCTTCGACCGCGAGACGGGGCGCGCGGGCGAGCGCTACGTCCCGCCGCCTCCACCTGAGGCCATCCCATCGAGCGTGAGCTACCGCCACTGCGTCTCGGCGCTGCTCACGCCGCGCGACCTGACGGGGCAGATGGTGAGCACCAAATAACAAATATCCACCTGCTGTATTGTTTGAATACACGACGAGTGTTCCGAATCCGTCCAAACAATCGCCTTTGTCAGCATGAACGGCTGTTTGGACATTATAATCAGTGCCACGCCCCCGTACACTCGATCCCAACCGTGCTCTGTTCCTCACCCCAGCTCCCAACCCCATCCTTGCTCTGTTCCTTACCCAGCTCCCAACCCCAACCCTGCTCTGTTCCTCACCCCGGCTCCCAACTCCAACCTTGCTCTGTTCCTCACCCCAGCTCCCAACCCCAACCTTGCTCTGTTCCTCACCCCGGCTCCCAACCCCACCCATGCAACGGCTGCTGCAGGTGACTGCCTCTGCGCGCCGGCCGGACGCGGGGCTCGAGCTCGAGTTCGTGTTCGGGTACAACGGGGCGTCCAAGTGGACGAGGTCGGCAAACCTCTTTGCACTCCACGGGTACGCTTTTTTTTAATAATAGTTCTTTTAACGTCCCTCGACTTGCAGCACGAAGGCGTAATGGCATGACATAACTGCTTACTTTACGAGAGGGGGGGGCAGCCTGTTTTCTTTTATTTAAATATTCGGATCTCCGAGGGCCGTCCGAATAAAATGAAAAAGGAAAAGCAAGGGGGGGGGAGACTCTGGACTGTCCGCACCCTCAATGCCTCCTTTTATCACCCCCCCCCCCCCACCCCCAGCCTATTTTCCTTTTTCATTTTAATTTTATTGGGGGAATACTGTAGCGAAATTCTCTTTCTAGACTCTCTTTTTCAGGCTCTGCTCGAGCAATTTATTATGAAAAAGAATGAATAGAAGCGTTCTAGCCTCAATCGGACAGGTTACGCATTCCTAAGTTCAGCTGTGGTGCCATCGCATCCTTTTCATATATTTACTGATAGGGATTCAAGCTGGCGTCTGACTGTTCTAAATGTTGTGCTGGTCTGAGCGCTGCGTCGCCCATTGCCTGCTGCGTGCCTTAGTCGGCTGCGCT